CAATCGGAAAACATACCCCCGGCTAAGCTCTATCTCCGGATCGGTCAATTTGGTAGAGTTTGCAGGGTATCATTTAGTTGGACAGTCTATCTTCGGCTGAGGAAAAGCCATGTGAAAGAGGCAGAGAGAGAGTGAGAAAGGCAATGAATTGCATCCAGTTCCCAATTGTTGATCACGTACAGACAATTGCATGTCAATGCGAAAGGTCAAATATATCTTCGGTTCAGTTCAACTTGTTTATGTCATATGGAGAGTGAGGGAATGCGGCGAGAAGATCCACGGGCAACCAGTAGCTCAACACGAAGACGAAGACGAAGAAGAATGCATTTAGCAGTTGCTAAACTGGAAATCAATTGATGCGACAGGAGGTGGAGTCCGACATCTGATTTCAGACCTGTTTCGTTCGGCTGCACTTGTGTTATTCGCCGGGAATAGTCGCTAACTGGGTCGGGGCAATGAAACGTAACTGTTTCGCATAGGTGCATCCAACGGGCCATCGACAGTCACTGAAGCAATTGAAGCAGCAACGATTCCAACAAGAATTCTGTCTGCAACTATCTAATTATAATTTGTTTCTTTTGCCTAATACATATTACATATTTTATATATTAGCGCCAATCGGCGTCAGGAATCAAGCCTGTTCGGAACCGAACCGGTTCCAGCCTGAAATTTGCCATTTATTTTTTACTCTGAACCGAATCTTGAACCTGAACCAAACCAAATCTATAAAACCATATTCGCTAGCTGCCAATTCTGGTTTGAAATCAAACTAAGCCCGCAATCTCTTTACTCTCTTATGGGGGAAAAAAGAAGGAAACGTAAGGGCAGGTAGTTGGTTCAAATCGTGAACCGAACCATTGAACATATCTTGTTTTTGCAGCCCTGACAGTAAAAATGTCTTCGCCTAATAACTCTCTCACTCTCTCTCTCTCTCTGTTTGTCTCGCTCAATCGATTCGAGTTCTAATTTTGTGCTAGGAAAACGTCTCCATGCGTATCAAATTATAAATTAGCATTATCTGATCTATTTAGACAGTTTTTTAGATTAGCTATCTAATCAAGTTTTTCCAAATTTATAAAACAAAACAAAAAATTACTAAGTTAATTATTTCCAACATAAATTAGTCATGTACCAATGGCCACAGCTGATATACTTATTTCCGATAAAGGGCATATATGTATTCAAAGGAATGTTAAACTTCTTCTCCTGTCAATGAGTCCGGCTTTCGAACTGCGACCTAGACAGCTTTACGGATCTATTGTCCTGAAACTTTACGATCTTGTTATCAACACCGGGCCACTATATTATATTGCCATCGTTGGGTTAATCGGTTGAAAATGAAGTTCTTTGACCAACGAGCTTTATAATTCGCCTCGCATATTTGCAAAACAAAGCCAAATGTCCGCAAGGGTATTTATCTTCGGCGTGCCCTTTCTTGGTTTTTTTCTGATTCGGAGTTGGAATTGGTCATGTGCGTGTTTTTTCTCCATTTTTGTGCCTAGTGTTTTTCTCTTTGGTGGTTGCTCAGTGGAATGTTTGTTTGTTTGTTTGTTTGTTTGTTTGTTTGTTTGTCTGGCTGATTGGTTAGTTTGATGGTTTTGTGGTCTGTTTAAAAAGGCAGCACATTGCGCAATTCGCTTATTGTTGTTGTTGTTGTTGTAACTCCGTGCCCGAGCTGGCGAATGGGGCAGCAAGAATTTATGGCTAAAAATAACGCACGCAATTAGGCAGCACCAAGTTCTGAAAACAGCAGCCAACTTCTAAAAACAGACGACGACGACGACGGCATTACAAAGTACAAACCATGCACACAGAGACCGTGGATTTGTGTGGGGAATGCGAAGAGATAAAGCCCAAAGCCAAGGGCGGGCAGTTAAAACAGCTACAGGGAGTGCCAGTGGCCGCCAGTGGGAGTGGCCCTATGCTTGGACCGAGAGTCCATTAGGGTAGAGGACAAACTGAATTAACTAAATAAATGATATGCCCATACTGTATGTCAAATAGCAATCAGGAGTTTCTGAAAAGTTCCACGCGCTGGGGTGGAAAATAGGTGGAATGCTTGAAACTTTCTTATAATCAGTTGAATGAAGAACTTCTGTGAGTTTTATTGTAGAAATCGTTTCCCAGAAGCTCGTACCAGAAACAGCTGTTTGTGCGACTCTTTGAGGCGCAGACGAACGGGGCTCATCTCAAGTGCAAATATTGATACTCGACTTTGGCAAATAAGACAGAAACAGATATTCGTATTATTTTATGTTCTACCGTCTGCTGGCTGCGAGAAGTGTGGAGTGAACGTCTGGGAGCGTGGACCTGGGAGCGGGGAGAGGGGAGCTGAGGTAGCTGCGGGGCTCTTAACAAGCAAAAGAATGCAAACAATGGCTAGAGACAGGCACGAGAGCAGCTCAACAAACGGATTTGTTTATTAATTGACGTCAACGGCTCTTTTTTCTTTCAGTGACTGATCGCTGGAGGCTACTATAACTTTGTCATAAGCCAGACAACTCACCAATGGCCAGAGATTCAGCTATACGAAAGATGTTCTGTCTAGAGGATCTGTCCATTTGAACAGACAAGGCTTTAAGCTGAAAGGAGATGTATTTCATCGTGAATTGCAGACAAACATATCTTCAGATACCTTTTCCAATAAGATTTATTATAAAGACTTGTTCCTAGTTTTAATCATTTAGTACTAGATAAATCGTTAAGAAACTGATTAAGAACTCAATGAAATGAAATATTAAACCTAAAATAGGAGCATATATTAAAAGACATTTCCATTTGCCAACATGTAACGGTATGAATGTGACCAGTGTTGCCAAGTGTCGCTTAAAATGTAGCTGAGCAAACATTGGCAACGAACAGGGTTGTTCTTACTTGTCATTGTGATGCAATCAAATAGTTGAATCAGTATATAATTTCAACAGTTTCCGGTTGACGAACGCTGAAAGCAGCCCAGTTTAGCTAGAAAATAGCTAAATTGGCAACACTGCATTGTTACGTTTCACTATTTGTTGGCTTCATAACTCAGAACCAAACTTACGACATCGCCCACCTGTTGCACTAAAAAAATGTCTTTCCAAAGTACCATCAACAAGACGTAGCCCATGACATGCGTGTGGCTAGAATTGCCCAAAAATGATTCATCGACTTTCATTGAGTTATTTGTTTTATGTTTTTTAATTCTTAAATTTCATAAACTTTAAAGAGCATACGAGCTTCGGCTATTTACGTATGCTTTGAATTGCCGGATTTTGGGTCTGTGCAAATACTCAAATACAACTGATCATAGGTAGACGCAAGTATGCATGCATGTACAGTTTTAACTGTGCATACATTTACACATGTATGTGTGCGTGTCATGGTATGTGTGCGATGTGATAGCTCTGGAGCGCAGCAGCCAAGCTGGGGAAATTATCCAAGTTCAAGGTAGAGAAGCAGACGCAAAAGGACAAACAAATGGCAAAAGCAAATTGCCAATCAAGCATCAAACTGTTTATCTGTAGGTGTGTGTGTGTGTGAGTGTGTGTACATTGTTCTTATCAGCGTGTGGCTGAATGTGTGCTTAGGTAAATATATACATATGTATGTGTGCATTATCTGCTTTATTTGCAAGAGCTAGCTTTTTTAACATTTTGTGAGTCACTTACATATACATATACATATATCTATTCTATACCTATTCATCTGTGCGGCTGCCTACATACATTTACATAAATTTGTGTGTATATGCACACATATGTATATATGTACATGCATGTATGTTGATATGCGCATTTGCAAAATTGCACATGTTCATTAAAAGTGTACTATGTGCAATATTTGCAATTGGTATTCATAATTATAAACAACACGAGCCGAGTAAATTAAGAGGGAGAGAGAGAGAGAGCGCGTACGAGCGAGGGGGAGAGAGTTATTGGCGCAGGTTTGCCATTTTGTCACGCATATGAAATTTAGCGCTGATTTTTCATTGACATTCAGCCATGAAAACAAAACAAAAAACATAAACATGCCCAATACAATGGACAAGAAAAAAAGCCCACTAAAATACACACACACATATATATATATATATATGTGCACACAAACTATGTACGCGAAAGAATGCGACAAAGAAGAAAAGGCAAAATCAAAATAAATCAAATGTGCGCGCCATGCGCCATTAGCGAATCAATCAACGAAAACAAGCGACTGATGAAGAGATGAAAGAAGAGGGGGAGCATGAATGTGTTTAGTTAGAAGTGCGAGTTAACATTTTTTTGTTACTTTCTAGACACGCGCGATGAGTAAGCGATGTAGCAAAAAACTTATCGCATGAGCAATGAAAATGGGCAAATGGCAAATAAATACATAATCTTATCAACGTAATTTACTGATACGGGAATAGAAGAGTAGACATTAAGTATGGGCAAACAAAAAGAGAAAACCGGGAAAACCTGCAGCAGCAGCAGCAGCGGGCAGAGCGCGGGTCATGCGTTCACAGCGTCAAAGACAAAAGTGAAATTTTAAACAAGATGTTGAATAGGTTACAATGGTTTTCACCACAAAAAAAAACAACAAAAAAAAGTTCAGAGAATCTCTGTCATATATATATATATATATATATATATATATATATATATATATACTTATGTATGTGCACTGAAAACACACATGCATATGTATGTGTTTGTTGTTGTTATTCTGTTGAAATCCCCACCGTAAGCCGATGACAAAAAAAGCAAAATGCGTAATTTTACCAATTAATAGTATTAAAAAACCGTTCAATTGGTTTTGCGCTTAAATATGATGATTTTTTACCCACACACCCGCAGGAATTCATTGACACACAACACACACACAGTCACGCTCACACTCACTAAACCAGTTTAACGTTTAATGCGATATTTTAGGAGCGTCTCTTAGCAGTTGCCCCTCTCAAATGTTATTTATGCAACGGCATTTGCAAGTGTGACCAGCTGACAGGAGAGATAGAGAGAGGAGTGAGTAACACCTGCACTTACCAGTTACACTGCAATGTGTTGGACTCCACATAGCGTTAGCACCCTTTTTCAATTTGGCGAAACAGCAGCGCACTTAATTCGTGTGTGGTTATATTTTAAGTATAATTGTGGAGCTGTCTGAAGGGCAGGGACGCTGTCTATTATCAAATGCACTTGCGCGCATTAATATTTGAATAAGCACAGCAACAAAATACACACACAAACACTTGTTTGACGCGTCGCGTATTGGTAAATATATATTCTTCTGAATAGCAACAAAAAAAAATATAAGGCGTACAGGCCACACGCGTCTGCCCTGCAGCTCTGTTGTATGTGATGTCTAAAATGAAACTAACAATCGATGCCCCACTATCGATATGATGGTTGCTTAAAACTTGATGCGCTTGCGCTAAAAAATGCCTGCAAGGCATGGTCAGCCTAACTTTGTCACATTACAAACACCAAATATCGAAATGGTCGATAACTGCCATTGCAACACTCGTACTCAACACAGCAAAAAGAATTAAATGCCTGCATCATTTTTTAAATTGCATCTGTTCTAACTGCTTGCTTATTATATTTAGTTAATTATTTATTTGTTTCTTGTGTGTTGGATAGTAAAGTATTTTAAATAATGGAGCCCATGACACTTGGCAGTCCCGTCAGCAGTCCTGGCAGCAATCAAAGCCAATACTTGCCGCCTTTTCTCATGGGCGACTCTCAGGCCATGACGCCCCATAACAACACGCTGTCACCCAAGCTGGGACGCTATAATGTGAGCTTCGGTAAGTGACAGACATCTCAGCTATCAAATATAGTAGCAATAATATATATATATATATATATATTCGTATTGCCTACAGCTTCGTCTCCAAGCAGCAACACGCCCCAGGAAACGGCGTACAACAACAATCAACAACAACTGAATCGCTCAGCTATGGGCACACGCACGCTATTTGCCGGCGCCAGCGGAAGCGCCAGTGGTGGTACAGCGAATACCAGTCATCAGGCTGGTCCTCCCACTCAGGGACTGTTTGATTCACTGCGCGGCGAACAGGTGTGCGGCACGCCGCAGCGCACACATTTGGCCATGTTGCAGACGTCGCATCTGAACAGCTCGAACTATAGCCTGAATCAGAGCTGCCATCCGCCAACGACGCAGCTGAATGATTCGTATGTACCCAATGCGCCCAATGCCGTCAACGCTTCCATGCGTGCGCTCTGTTCTCCACTCGGGGCCAACATGTCACCTATGACAATGCCACACACACCGCAAGCACGCGGCGGTGATTTTTGGGTAACAATCTTTGGCTTCTCACCTGGTGCTAGCTCCATGATACTCCAGCACTTTACCATGTGCGGCACAATAGTGGATGTGGTGCATGCGCCGCAGAACGGCAACTGGATGCACGTGCGGTTCGCTTCGCGCATTGAGAGCGACAAGGCATTGAACTACAACCTGAAGGTCATTGCCAGCAATGTTATGGTGGGCGTCACTCGCTGCACCGACGAGAGCATTATAGACAAGGAGAACTCCAAGTTGGCTGGACCAGATGCTCCTGTGCCTTTTAGACCGAAGGTACGACCACTGACACAGCAGTCCTACAATAATGCCCAGCATGAGACGCATGTCTCACCCAACCGCAATGTGCCACAGAAGAGCACCGGACTGATGAACAAGGCAATGGATCTCATCTTCGGCTGGTGATCGTTGAATAGATTAATCAATAATAAAAAGAAAAACCGATCCATTCGTTTATCTAATTGTTCTTCGAAACCAGATTCAGCTTCAGACATTTTTAATCTTTGCAACATAAAATCCTAATGCATACATTTATAAAATATATATATATATAGAAATAGATATAGAAATTGGTATTAATTTGCTTCGATTGCATACATCCATTCACTCTAGAACTGCCACGCCCTCCCACGCTTATACATTTGTTATTGTTATTGCGATTATCCCCATTCGCTTTATATCCATCCGCTTCTATAGCTCATTTTGGCTCCACCTGCGCAGTCTCCAGGTCCTTCATCTTCGGATAGCTTATCGAGCGGCTGTCGAGCTTGGACTGTGCCCACAGTATAAGCTTGAGCAAAAACATCATTTTTGGCGTCGAATCCTCGCTGTGCTCGCAACGCAATATGGCCGAGTTCAGCTCACTGGCGATCTTCTGTCTGTACGACTGCTCCAGTAGATCGGAGAAGGGGCTCTCTTGCGGCTTTTCGAATGCAAGCAATGCCAGGGTGCGCTCTAGCTCGAAACGGATCTCTTCACCCGACTCGGACAGCTTGGACTGAGCAAAGACCAAAGCCTCCTCTACTTTGCCCGCCCTAATTAGCTCAATGAGCTGCAGCTGCTGCAAGTGGAAAAACAAGTAGAGTTCGCTGCCCAGCAAATCGGGATGCAGCTGGTTCACCAGGTGCGTTGCCTCCTCAATGCGCCCGGCCTGCACTGCCTCCCGTATCAATATGCGATCATCTAAGCTGCTCAGCTCAACGCTGGGCTCCAGCTCCGCTTCATGCTGAAACTTCTCAGCGGCCTCCTTAAAGCCCTCTACAATAAAAGGATTTCATATAAACATCGAAGCGGGCAAAGATGCCGTTTGTTTTTTGCTTACCTGTCACCAAATAGTTCATGATGAGACGATTCATGTCCGCCTGCTTGAACGGGAACTGCTCCAGCCGTTGCAGCCATTCCTCTTTTGTGATGGCCTCGCTTTTCTCATTGTAGCTCATTTTCTTGTTTTTCCGTATTTTGCCAATTTTGAGGCCGTTATTTGTAACCGTTGGGAGTACGTAATGAGTAGTTTTGCGACCGTTTCGTTATTTTGAACCACCGTAAAGATGCAGTTACGGTATTGATTTGCTTGTGCACAACACAATTTTCTTTTTATTGCAGTTTGTTTTCGGACAAAGCCAATGCTGCTGCCGTCACCTTAATTGTAGAGATGGAACTTTTGCTTATCGATTTACTGACAATTTGATTTCCTGCAACCAAATATGTTATCGCTATCGATAACTAGTTCAATAAATCGGCAGAAACGTTTTAATTTGAACTAACCAAATTTTGGTAACAACTGATGCGCAGTCCATTTGGCTTCAAATTCCATTCAATGCATAAATTCATATTTTTAAAGCAATATATAGAAATCGTTATCAACTATTGAGTTTAAGAATTACCTCAATGAATCTACAAAAAGTAGAGCTCAGTATTACCATTATATCTATTATTTTCTATCTAAACTTGGCTATTGTCTACAGTCGAAAAATTTGAAATAGCTTCTTTTTTCATCATCTCAATAAAACAATTCCAGAAAGCTAAAGCAACACAGATCACGGCCATCTAAACCGTGGGCCAAATGCAGATTGTTGTCGCTCCGCCGATCGGCTATTTATTAGTTCTTTTTAGGCATCTAATTATAAGAATGTCATGTGTGATGGAGGTGCAGCTCAGTTCTTGCGATTCCCGCGACGCCGCATGGAAGCCGTGCACTTGGGGCAGTACCACTTGCCCTTGGGCGGCTGTGTGATGCCCACGCACGGATAATGGAACCACTCGTAGGGGCAGGCATCGTTGTCGCAGGCAACCATGTCGCCGTACGAGACCTGATTACAGGTGCAGTAGCGCGGCTCGTTCGGATCGTATGACCATTCGCCTTCGTTGGTTTGCTCGACAACCAGACCGTTCTCGCTAATGGTTAGATTAGCGCCGGGCGCAAGCGTTGTGCTGGGCAACCCAATGGATGTCGCCGTCACGCTATTAACAGTCGGCAGAGTAACAGCTGCTACAGGGGCTGGCGGATGGGCGGCTGTCGGATGGGCAGTTGCCAGTTGATTCGTTGTGGGATTGATGGCCAGCGTGCCTTGGCTGAGACTGGCGTGTTGTATGGGTGCGGCGGTGGTGGCATTTGCTAGCATATCAACTGAGTCCACGCTTATCGACGATGAGGACGATGCAATTGAGTTGCCTGACGAGGAACCGTCCCAGAATTTGTAGGCTAGACCGCCAGGCATCGAAATGCCGGCATTCAGTTTCCTGAAAAATCATCATTATTCAGTACTGCGTTCCAAGAATTATGTTCGAATTTTACTTACTTCTTGTGCTTCTTCTCGTGATGATGCTGATGATGTTGCTGGTGATGTTGTTGCTGCTGCTGCTGCTGCTGCTGTTGCTGCTGTTGCGGGGGATGATGATGCACGGCGGTGGCCAGCGTTCCAGTCGCTGGCTGCTGCATGCTGCTATTATGCGCCGCTGCCGCCGACCAGAACTCTGTACTGCTAGCGACGCCAGCGCCATGTATGGCCTCATAGCTGGCCTTCAGGCTGGCCGTACGACGTCCCTGCGGCATTTGTTGGGTGGCCACAATTGCTTGGCTTGCCGCGGCCGCAATGGCGCTTGAGGCAGCTGCACCGCCGCCCAGCTGGTGCAGACTATAGCTGACCGTGGTGTTGCCGTGGCTGGCAGTCATGCCAGCGCCAGTGCCAGTGCCTGCTACGGGCCCAACGTTAACGGTATTGTTTGCAGCAGCTGCAGCGGCAGCAGCTGCGGCTGCCGCAACAGCCGCATTGTTGCTACTGGTGCTCAGCACGCTGTGCGCTGTGAGATTCGTAGGCAGCTGGCGCACAATATTAGCGGCGGCGGCGACAGTATTGCCGGCATTGGTGGCGACCACGGGCAGTGTGACATGTGTGGTGATCGTGTTCACATGATTGCCAGCGACAGGATTAACAAGGCTGCCACCAACATTGTTATTGACGGGTGCCACTGGCAGCGACTGATTCAGATTGGGACGCTTCTCCTGCACGGGCACTGTGCATATTGTTTCGCGCCGCTTCTCCAGCTTGCGATGTCGCTGATGGCTGCTAACTGCGCTATTGTTGCCGGACAGACTGCTAAGTGCGGAGCTGTTGACCAGCAGGCTGCCACTGGTGCTGCCCGTGCTGGTGATGATGCCGGCGGCGCTGTTGATGTTGCTAGCCATTAAATTGCTATTGCTGCTAACGCTGCTTGCGTTATAGTAACGATTCTCTTTTTGATTGATGCTCATCAAAAGGGCCGTTGCAGCTGTGGAATTATTGCCATCCAGCTCCAGAGAGCGCTTCTCCAGTATCTCGGTGATGCCATTGTTGTCCGCCTCCAGCTCGCACTTGAACTTGAACAGCTCGCTGTCCAGTCTACGCAGATAGCGCTCGACGAGCTCATGTATTTGGGTGGCAATGGCAACTTTCTCATCGGCATCCTCCATTACCTTGAAGTAGTCGCCCCGCAGGCTGTGGAATTCCGCGTCCATCGATTCGTGCTGCAGCTCGCCGCGCTTGCACTGCTGAAAGAACAGACGCGACTTCTTGTCCAGCGAGTCCATGTTATCTGTGTGGACAACAGTGTTTAATATTGTTTATGTGTCTCCAGATCCACTTACTTTGCACGGCAAGATCCAATTCACGCATCTCTGTGAAACGGTCTCGCAGCTCCTGCGGCAGATGCTCAATCACTGCAACAAAAATGGAAGAGCATTTTCTTGTGACAGTCGCTTGTTAGTATTTACTTTGCTACTGTGCTACTTACTCTCTAAATAGTCCTCCAAATACAACATGTTGTATTTCTGTTTTATTTATTTTATTAAACCTCTGAAGTGTAACAAATGAAAAAAAAACTTATACTTATGTTTACCAGTGTTGCAAACGACAGTCTCTTTCCAGCAGTATGGTCACCTTAAATGTCAAGATACTAACGAAGAAAGACTCTAAAATATTGACATCGATTCTGATTTATCGATAAATATTTTACCGCTTGCCTACTGCAATTTGTTTTTGCATGTCGATTTGTTGTATTCTTGATGGTGAAATCATAATAAAAGCGCCATGGACATCTCCAGCACCATAAAATTTCGTGACATTTGCACAATGATGGAGCGAGTTAAGGTGGCCAAAAATATGCAGCGCAAGGAGCTCATTCTAAAGCGCTATTACGATTCCTTCTGCAAACATCGGGAGACATTCCGGCAGAGTGCCAGTCTGACGGGGAACCAGCTGGAAGACGGTGCCAGCAGTTTTTATCCGGTGCTGCGTCTCTTAATACCTGGCGCGGACACCTCGCGCGACAACTACGGCCTGCAGATAACCGCCCTGGGGCGACTCTACACGCGCGTTCTGCAGCTAGCCAAAGATTGTGAGTGCCAATCCCATCGTCAACTCCATGCCACATCCAATTAATGTCTGTTGTTTCGTCCAGCTGATGATGCGATACGGCTGCAGCATCGTGCTATGTCTACGTTCCGTGACTATGCTGATGTGGTGCATGCTGTGCTGCTGCCCCGCTGCCACAATGAGCCCAGCAACCTGACGCTCAAGCAAATCCATGAAATGCTCGACATTATTGCCAGCGAGGACACAACTGGTAGGTGCTCGAAATACTCACCGGAACCTTAGCAGAGTAGGGAGTCTATGTAAAAGACACGAATGACCATAAGTAGAATGTCTCAGTTGCTAGATACCCATCATTTTTTATGCATATTCAGAGGGTATACCCAAGGCAGGAGGAACCGCCGATCCCACAGAGATTCATTAGATATATTACAGAATCTTTTCTGCATTCACTTTCTCTTTGAGCTGTGTCCAGTCGCACCGCGTGCAACCAGGTAAAGGGTTTCCCTGAACTGGTGCAGGAATTTGCAAAGAATAGCTTGACAAATTATTTCGATTATTTTTGCATTTCTTTCTGTAGTAAAGGAACGCGAACTGATACGCTTTACGGAGCTGGCCTCCGCCCAGGAGCAAAAGTGGCTGATACGCATTCTGCTCAAGTCAATGGGCTTGGGCATTGGCGAGCAGCGAATCTTCGGCTTGCTGCATCCCTTGGCGAAGGACGTGTACCAGCGTTGCTCAGATCTGGCACGCATTTGTGTGCTGCTCGCGGACAATAAGCTTTTGCCGGAGGCACCGACTGGCAGCAGCAGCAGCGGCAGCAACGCAGTCATTAAATTAAACACCTTCATCGAGCCCTTTCATCAAATAAGGCCAATGTTGTGCGAAAGGTTTCCCGGCAAGATCGAGGAGCTTATGGAGTCGGATGTGCTGTATTTAGAGACCAAAATGGATGGCGAACGCTTTCAGCTGCACTATGCACGCGGACGATTTAAATATATATCCCGCAAGGGCGCCGACTACACCAAAAGTTTTGGCGGCAGCTACGAGAGCGGCACACTGACGCCCCATCTGCGCCCACTGCTGCCCCTGGGCATGGAGTCTATAATACTGGATGGCGAGATGATGATCTGGGATACGCAGCAGCTGCGCTATCGCGAGAAGGGCGAAAACACAGATGTGAAACATCTAAAACCGGAGCGCAGCTGGCGGCCCTGCTTTGTGGTGTATGATTTGCTATATCTGAACGGGGAGAGCCTCCTGGATATGACGTACGTGCAGCGCACCTATAAGCTGCAGGAGCTGATCAGCGAACAGCAGGGCGTGTTGCAAATAATGAAGGGACAGAAAATAAGTTCCCTAGAGCATTTCAATACGCTCTTCCAGCAGATGCTTGACTCCAATGCGGAGGGCATTGTCCTTAAAAAGCAAAACTCAAACTATAAGCCCGGAGTGCGTGTAGGCGGCGGCTGGTACAAGGACAAAGCGGATGTGAGTCTGCCGTTACTGAATTATGAAAAACCTTTTTCTTATTTTCCTCTATGTGCAGTATATCGAGGGTCTTATAACCGAGTTCGATGTGCTCATCATTGGTGGCTTTTACAACCGGAAACGGACCTTCATTGAATCATTTTTGCTGGGCGTGCTTAAGCCTGGCGGCGAAACGGAGCGCGACGAGGTGTACAGCATTGGCTGTGTGGCCAATAATACGCGTCAGCGCGCCGTGCTCCATCATGAGCTGAGGCCACATTGGCACAATGCGAGCACAGAGCCACCGCCGCTGTGGTATCACTACAAGCCTAACGAGAAGGAGGGCTCACCCGACGTTTGGATTCAGCCCGAAAAGTCCGTCATATTGCAGGTGAAGGCAGCGGATTTGACACCCAATGGCGCCTTCTATACACCCACGTCGCTGCACTTTCCGCGCACACAGCTCCTGCGCGATGACAAGGTGTGGAACGAGTGCATGACGCTGCAGGAGTATACAGAACTGTGTCAGGTGGGTAGCGTGGGCATGCAGCATGTAGAGACAGTTAATCAAATGTTTTAAAATTATTAATCCATCTTTTTGCAGGGCCAGGGTGCCATAAAGAAACTCAACAAGCGCCAGGCGAACCTAAATGACTTTACTACGGAACGCAAACGTATAAAGTTGACGACGGCCGAACGCAACCGCCTTGGCTTGGCTGCCTATGAGAAGCGTTATGATGTCCAGCCCTTGGCGAACAGCTCTCAGCTGTTTGAGGGCTTCAGTTTTTGCATATTGAGCGGCACACGTGGATACAGCAAACAGCAGCTACAAACACTGGCCGCTGAGAATGGCGGCACCATTGTCCAGAATCCATTGCCCAACGATCCGAAGTGCATTTGCATAGCCGGTGATCTTGTCTATCTGGTGGAGCGTCTGATGCAGCAACAGCCGCGCTGCAATGACATTTTACGCCTGGATTGGCTGCTGCGTGTGTGCCAAAAACAGCAGATCGAGCTGCGTCCCAGAGATGTGCTGTCAGCCACCGATGCGCTGCAGACGCAGTTCGACAAGAGTTTTGACAAGCTGGGTGATAACTTTACGGACCTGTTTAGCAGCCTGAACGAGCTACAGGAAGTGCTGCTGGATATAAGCGAAGCGCAATTGGACTCTGTGCATGTGGATGAGCATGAGTTGGACAAATTGGAGCTGCAACTGCTTGGCACTGCGAGTTACAACATATTTGCCAAGCACCATGCCTGCTTTTATAATCACAATGCAGATGAGCTGGCCAGGCTGCTCTTCATCCAGCGTGGCGGGCAGCTGGTTAGCGAGTCAGAGCATCAGAGAATTAACCTTGTGCTTGTTTGTTCTAGCCGACTGAATCTGCAGGATTTTAAGCAATGGTATCAGGAGCATTTCACTACGCATCCCCCACAGGCTGTGAGCACGGATTGGATACGGCAATCGCATCGTTTACGTTGCGCTCTGCCTACCGCCGAGTTTCTGTTTAAATTCTAGTTGGCTGGGCAGAAATTGCCTGGCATATTTGTAATCATAGTAGCTCATTTGTAAATATTGTTATTATACCCTTCAAATCGTTGTAATACAATAAATATTTTAATATATTTCGAATTTCAAGACTCGGTTGTCACCTCCCAATGTCCACGCCTCCCTACTCACTACGCGTAAGTACCCAACGTATATGTTAAGCGTGTTGATTGTGCCATTGTGTGACACTTGGTTTGCCACAGTGCTCGCCATCAAATTGGCTGTGGTCCTCGCTTTTGATGAAGGAGAACCTCATATTACCTGGTTATGATTTGGAATCACGCTTCAAAGCAATGGTCCTGCGCAAGCGGCTGGGACGCGGACGCAACTCGTCGCTGGAGTCCAAGTCGAAGCCGTCCAAGGAACGCATCGGCCTACGCATCTGATTCTGAACATGGGCAGTCTCTTGAATTCCCGACAAGTAATTAAAACATGTATACATGTAGATTTGTTTTTATTTTTCATTTTTCACATACACATCAAGAAGACGAGTTTCGAGGTTTGGTTTAGAAACGGAAAGATACAGCAAATATATATTTTTGTATATATGTATATTAAAAAAAAAAAAAAAAAAAAAAACAACAAAAGCACACAAGTTTCTTAAGAAAATTTTTGTGATACCTTTTAACTATGAACTATAACAATAATTATACTATATATATATGTATATATATATATATAGAAGATCTGGTCGATTAAAATAATGTGTACTCGAATTTATTTTAAACATTTAACAAATTTGGGGAAAGTTGAAAGTGTAACTATTTTCGCATTGAATTTAATGAGTTCTTGATAACAATTAATTGATACGCTTCAAATTTTGATTTCTAATTTTTTGGACTTGCAGCAATAAGGACATCCAAAAATACATTCAATTTACTGTATATGTTAAATATTGATATAGTTTATGTGTAAATATGTTTAAAGTTTAACAATTGTTTTTTTTAGACTGCTCTTTCTATTGACTCTGAGGTTTCTTCCTGACTCTGCGAGCATATTTCGGGCAGAAATCAAATATAATATATATTTTTTCTTGATACACGTATACTTAGTTTACAAAAAAATAGTTGTTTACCATCAATGTATATTTGTTATTCTGAGGAATATATATACACATATATAACATACATATATATATATATATGCAATCTCTGAGACTGTTTAACACATTTACGTAACAAGTAAGAGTTTTTAATTGACCCGAAATTGGGCTGTACGAAACACTACGGATTTGTGTGGATTGTTGAACTATTGTGAAAATCGCATTTAATCTAAATATTTGTTGTCTCATCGTAATCTAGGATATTCGTTTTTATACTTTAATCGAAATTAACTGTAGCAGCCTGTTCCTTTATTATTCATATATTCAATTCTCACGTCGAAATTCGTCAAATTCTATGCTTTAATTTTACATATAATAAATATTTATGTAAAAATATCGTACAACAAATTGTAGGTACAGGGTATACAAATGCATATTCAAGAGGGGTTTATTTGTTGTTGCTTCTTTTTTTTCTTGTGGCTGTTGTCCTCAAATTTAACAATTATTGCAAAGTGTACGCCATAAATTTATAAATGTAAAATATTTCATTCTTCGGAGGATCTTTTATTATGTTTGTTATGCGTAAGGAGGGGGGGGGGGGGGGGGGGGGGGGTTGGGGGAGGGGTTGGGGTAATACTAAGCAATGCGTAGACATTTGATCTATCTGGTATACGGCATATATATCTATATAATTTTTAGGTAACTCTGATTTGTGGCCTATGACTACGACTACATTTAGCAGCTACTAACAATAAATGATCATAATAATAAACATTATAGTTAATTATAATGTTAAGCATAAAAATTATTTGTTATATTTGTGTGCGTGCTGTTTCCTCGTTCTTTGCGATTTAGTTTAAACATTTAAAACTTGAACAGTATGAAAAAAAGTTTTTGTTTTGTTTTTTTGTTGTTGTTTGTTTTTAAATAAAAAGTCTTTTGGAATTTTCGCATATTCATATTCGTAGCTATAAATATTTTTACATGTATGTAGATAATTTGTTTGTTTTTGATTTTGCAAACCCCTTAGCAGAAGACAAAATAATAATAATAATATTAATAATAATAAACATATGAAATATATATTTTGCAAAAAAAAAAAAAAAAAAATAGTAATATTTATATATAGTTGTTTTATATATGTATGTATATCAAATCAGACTTGAACTTTCAGAAAGTTTCGGGACATAAACGCAACAAAATAATAATACGCAAATAGAAAATTAATAGAATAGTAAATTAGTTAAAATCTGTTTTAAAATGTATATTTAATTGGTTAACTGCAATTGTTGATTTGTTTTCATGTATTATTATTTAGTTGGGGCGATTGCTTCTGTTTTATTTATGTATTTATATGGCAGTCGTTATCATTTTTGAGATAATTTGACTTTTGTTGACAAAAAATCAATTTAAATTTAACAAAAACAAAAAAAAAGGTATATCTATAGGGTCTACAGCTTAACAAGTGTGCTTAAAACGATACAAATGTGTGTGTGTGTGCGTGTGTGTGTGTGTGGGTGTGAAAGAGAGAGGTGTTTTTCATTGCACTTTTCTCATTGTTGGTAAAATTGTTTAAGCTAACCGAATGATACAAACAATTTGGTCCACATTAAACTGTGTGCGTGTGTGTGGGTGTGTGTGTGTGGGTGTGTGTGTGTGTGTGTGTGTGTGTGGGTGTGTGTGTGTGGGTGTGTTTTTTATATGTTAACGCTTAGGATTAGGCCTGTGTGGTTTCCCCTTAGTTTATTAAAATAACCCTATAGTTTAATTTGTTGATCTATCGCCGTTTAAACTGAAACACAAGAGAAAGAAAATCAATTATTAAATGCGAATTTAAGATTGAATAACTTTATATAAAAAAGAAAAAGATGGGTTTGAACAAGAGAGATATTAAAGTTGAGCAGATACTTACGCTGATCGAAGGTGCTCGGATTGATGTAACTGATTAGATCTTGGTCGGACATTGTGGTCAGCTCCTGGGGTATAGGCGGCTGCACAGCGACTGCGGCGGCCGCAGCGACGGCGCCAACGGCGGCTGGCAGAATGCTGCCGGCGCTGCTGGGCGCCGATGCCTGCTGTGTCATCACAGCTCCATTGGTGGTAACGGCCGCAGTGGCCACAGACTTTTGCAATGCGTTCTCAGTGGCCAGCGCAACAATGAGAGATTCTTGTGGTGTGGGCGGCACAACGGGCAGGTGGACAGCTGACAGTGCTGGAAAGCCGGCGGCGACGGCGGCAGCGGTGGCTGCCTCCACGGCGACTGTTTCCGATGTGGTGTGGTTCAACAGCAGATTGACTAGCGGATCTCCGCCAGTGGCGGCTGCATTTGCTGCCTGCTGCTGCTGCTGTTGCGGATGTGGGAGAGGATGTGGATGTGGATGTGGATGCGGATGCGGATGTGAGTGCGAATGGGCATGCGCATGCTGCTGTTGCTGTTGCTGCTGTTGTTGTTGCTGTTGTTGCTGCTGCTGCTGCTGCTGGTGATAATGATGCTGTTCCTGCTCTTGTGTAGTTATAAAATCAGCAGCAGCCTTTATTATCATGTTGCTAACGGCCGTCGAGGTGGCTGTGGCAGCCACCTCCGGCTGCATGACAGCGGGCGTCGGCGGCAGGGTGTCACCGACATCAACGCCGGCGGCAGCATTCGGCGGACTCATCATAATGTTGCTTAGCGCCAAGGCAGCAACAGCTGCATCCTGACGCGTCGGCTCCGCCTGCATGGCAATGTCGTTCAGTATCGAATTGGCCATGGTCACCTGATGGGGCGCCAATATGTTGGCCACCACGGCGGTGGCGGCGCCATTTGCCGAACAGAGTATGGTTGACGGCGACACAGCCGGATTCATGATGATGTCCGTGGACAAAGCGCCGCCGGCATTGGCCACAGCAGCAGCAGCCGCAGCCGCAGCTGGCACCGCTGCCAATTGCTGCAATGGCAGGCCGGCGCCCAATGCGGCCGCCGGCTCCGAGTTAAGGATTATGTCCTGAGTTAGCGGCGAGCTATTTGGTGATGTTTCGCTGCCCGACAGCGAGCTCGAGTTGGAGTTGTTGCTGCTGATGGAGAGGCTTCGCTTCAGCACGCTGGGCGTAGCTGTCGCCGTTGTGTGTCCGTGTCCATGTCCGTGCGTATGCGTGTGCGGGTGTGTGTGCGTCAGTACGCCCACCTTCTGTTGCAGTATATCCGTGAGGGCGTGGTCAATGACCGACGAGCCGGTGAACAGCGCCGGCTCACTGGTGCCATTGCTGTTGACCACAGACGTGGACTTGGTCAGATCATCAATGAACTTGTGCACATTTGCTGCCGACTGCTGCTGCTGTTGCTGCTGCTGCTGCTGCTGTTGCTGCTGTTGTTGCTGCTGCTGCTGCTGCACCACATGCTGGACAATTTCGTGCTTGACGGCCAGGCCAACGGCCACAGCGACCGCGGAGGCGGGATCCAGTTCCACCGTTGACGCAGCGGGCACTGGAAAGCCGGGCATACTATTCGACTGATCGTACATGATCGTGTCCAGGCTGGCCTTGCGCGCATAATGCGCATGATACTGCAGCGCATTGGGGCTGCACGGATTGAGTGCCTCCGGCGAGTGGAGCGCTTCGGCTGTATGGGGGCTGAGCGAGCTGTTCTCGTCCAGCAGCTCGCTCTTCAGTGCCGCATCCGCGCTGCTCAGATGCACCAGCTGCTGATCCGTTATCATGGGCGTCGCCCCGGACAGCGATGAGCGGCGCAGTCCCATCGGTATCTGTGTCGTGATCGGTGGCGGCATCATGCCCAAATCCAGTTCATGTTTCGTTTCCACAACGTTCCCGCCCGCGGCGACAACGGCGGCGGCATTGCTGCTGCCATTGTTGCCCACCCAGGCGGAGTTGTTGGCGGGCGCGTTGCTCGTGTCCATGAAGTTGGCCACATCTACAAGTATAAGAGAAGCTTCTTTAGTACACAGATGCTGGCAATTGTGCGGCTTCTAAAGGGGGTGGGGGCAGGTTCAGGGGCAGGGTTACGGTCAGGGGTCAGGGGTGCTGGTGGTTAGGAGTTTTGGGCGTGGTCAAGTCAAAAATAAAAAAAAAGAATATCAGTTAAAAAATAAAAAATATAATTATAAAGAGAAAATATATATATATAAGAATTCCTCGCGTAGGGTAAAAAGAGGAGTAAACTGTAAGGAGTGGCTGGAGAAAGACAGACACGGAGAGACAGAGACAGACAGACAGAGAGAGAGAGAGAGAGAGAGAAGGAGAGATAGACAGAGAGAGAGAGGGGTGAGACAGTCAGCCAATTGGAGGTAAAAATAGAGAGCAAATGCTTATATGGCCGACAGCTTACATAACTATAAAGAGCTTAATGCTAAATGCTAAAATTAAAATATATATTATTCAAATGGTTATTGCTCTCTATTTTAGCCAACAACTTGGCTGCAATTCGGGTTGGGGTTGGCAAATAAACATATGGGCATATATTTATATATATATATAGAGATATGTGTGTATACTTTTCAGGGGTCATGTTGTGTTTGAGTATCGTTGTGGGGAATTAAGTCTTAAGGCAAGCTGATTAAATATGTATATATGTATATATATTATGCATTATACATATAATATAATGTGCTCGCAGTGCTCTGAGCTTGGAAATTGCTTTAGTCCATCGCATTCACAAACTCCTTAGCCTACAATTCACACATCCCAGCTACATTAATTAAGCGCCGCCTTTCCAATATATAATAATATATATATATATATTTAACACACTCACACATGTGAAACAAACTTTTGGCTTGATGCGCGGATTTCCCATCAAAATGTTAGAAAAACCAACAAAAAACAGCTCGCTTTTCAACACAAACACAAACTCACAAGCACTCTTTCTCTTTCACTCTTTCACTCTTTCACTCTCTCTCTCTCCCTCTCTCCCCACTCCCTCTCTCCCACACACACACTGTCAGCTTCTCTTTCTCGCTTAAAGCAATTTCCAGGGCAGCAGCTTAAAGCTAGCTTAGAATCTAATTTTATAAACTATTTAAACTAGTTAAGTTTTATTTTTAATATTATTATTAAATAAATGTATTTATATATATATTTTTGCTGTCTAGTTCTTATTATATGTATGCATGTATAGTTTGTATGTAAGTTTATATATATATATATAAGTATAATTGGTATGGTTAGTAAGAAAGAATGCTGGATGATAGCCTGGGTTTCCGCAAATACGTATTATCATAGTTGAGAATAATAACTCTAGCCACACCGTACACACACTAAATTGGGTTATGAAGAACTAGTTCAACTGCACCTGCACCGCCACCTTTATTCTAGGGTTTTAGGTAAACGTAGTTGATATTTCTCTAGGCGTAATGCTGAGGCTCTGAAGTGCGAGCAATGCTTAATATTCCACTCGTTCTAGGTGAGTCCCATCACTACCTCTTAAAGAACGCTTTGTATACCCATATGGAACCAAAATTGTGCAGCTGACAAGTCAAAGAACATTGAAATAGAGTTTAAAGTCCATCGAAAGGTTGCTTAAAAGGATTTTAACGAATTTAACAATATCTCTGAAATGCCTATTTCGTGTAGAGAGCCTCTAAAAAGGAAGTTCTTTTCCACTCAGGCAGAGCGGATTTTGCGAAAGGCGTGAATCAGCTCTTAAATGAATTTGAGAATTTGAATCTTAATAAATGAGTTTGATGCCGATCGAATGGGTTAGAAACAAGTTTCATAAAACCGCACTATCTATTATGATGTGTTGACTGTAAGTTAATCAATTAATCAGCCGGGACAAACAGTTTTTTACACATACTATTTAGATGTCTATTGAGCTCGATGCCCTATCTTTGTTATTCTACATAAGCAATACAGTAATCGGCAATAACTAAAGCACTTGGGAGGAAAATATAAGCTTTTTATGAAATGTATGCAGAGGTGAAACAGGTCGAAAACGGAGGATTTCATTGTCGTTAAATAATCTATTATTATCGATATATTAATGCCCACCTCCGATTGTAATGAAAGCAATATTCTGTCAGCGGAATGCGGTTATGCAAAGCATGAAATCTATCGATAAATCGATAACCTTTAAAATCGTAACAGAAGTGAATGAACGTAATGTTATAAGCCCAAGATGCTGGCATCGGAAACGAGACTTTCACAATTGTTTAACGTGATTCGTATATATATATAAGGATATATATATATATATGTTATATACTTAAGAGATACGAGTAAATGCGTATTGTGTGTTATTTGTGGAGTTTTAAGAGTATGTACGTATGTATGTAGTATCTATAACTAGGTTTAAAGTTATTATAAAATGATAGACATATATAAAAATGGTGTACGAAATGTCAAACGAGGTCAATGGTTGAATTTCTCAATTTTTGCAGTATTTTGTTGTTGTTTTTTTTTTTTTTTTTTGTAAATTTGTTTTTTAGTTGTTTTTTTTTTTCACCAGTACCCTAAGAAAGTGGTGCAGAAGACGTGGCCTGAGGCTCCATGTGGCTGTTGCTCTCGTGCTGTGGCTGTCACTGGCTGGCTGGGCTGAGTTCCGGTTCCGGTTCCAATGCCGGTTCCGAATCCGGCGTAGATCATCTGCTCCCTGCAGTTATCCCGACCATCTGTTATCATTGGATTCATACTAAATGTCTGGGTGTATGTGTTTTTGTAAATCGAATCGACCCTTGAGACGATATTCGTGTGTGCATATGTATATCTTTGGATATAACAGATGTTAATTTGTAATAATTGAATTCATTATTTTGTCATTGCGTTCCATATTAATTGTGGCGCTCTTTGTTGTTTCTTAGTTCAGCCTCTTTGTGGCTGATTTAATTAGTTTATAATATTGTTTGGCTTGGATCGACTTAGATCTTGATTTTGTAATTGGGGAAATTTCTTGACTAGATTTTGTTTTTTGTTTTTGGTATTTTTTTTTTTGCATTTTATAGCACTCAAAATGGTTACATATTTGACTATATAGTATATTGAGCACCTAAATTGCTAAGAGAAGGGGAGGGGAGGAAGAATAAAGTAAAAATATATATATGTATATTTTTTTTTGATTTTTGTTTTTGTTTGGTTTGGATTTTTGTAATTAGTGTTGCGATCAAGTTTCTGCCGGTTTCCCTGAATTAGAATTAGAACAGCTGCCTTCTGTTTATTATTTATGATCATTATTTGAATCCTCAATAATTTCTTCTGCTTCTGCTTCTGTTTCTTCTTCATCTGCATCTCCTGTTGCTGCTGCTGAATTGATGCAATATTTTTGTAATCATGTATCGGTTATTGGTTATCGATTATCGGTTATCGGTAGTTGGGTGCTTCTCCGTTATATGCAGGCGCTGGACTCGTGCATGGTGGAAACGTGATCAAGAAAACTCTGCATGCTGCATACAATTCACACACTCACTCGCTCGGACTCACACCCAAATGCAATCAGACGGTCACCCACACACACACACACACATTCATACAGACATACAAGCAAACATTTCAAACAAAACGCAAAAGCTAAAGACTCCAAAAAGTGTTTTAAACGGCGCCCAAAACTTTATATATATATATATATATATATATATCTTCAACAACGAAAGTAACGCAATAAACAAGTTTTCCCTGGAATGTATGTGTATATGTCATATTCGTTTGTCTTCGGCTTCTACAGGGTATATCTGCTCACATTATGCAAACATCTTAATTCACACATTCGCACCGCAGAGTTGTTTCGATCAGTTTCCCTTGTGGCCTCGTTCAGTTATTGCAGTAAGAAATCGAGCGAGAGAGATAAAGATAGACTGATAGACAGACAAAGAGAGAAAGGGAGAGAGAGGGAGAGAGAAAGAGTGAGAGAGAGGGAGAGATAAAGAGATAGAGAAAGAGAGAGAGGGAGACGGAGTAAAGCCGGATTCGCGCATTTGTTAACTCTCCATATTGAAAACTTTCTAAAAAGTTTTCTAAATCGTCGCACAATTCAGATTCAGATTCAGATTTAGATTCATTATCATAAACATTTGCATTTCTTTTTTCTTATGTTTTCAGAGTTTCCTAACAATTTTATATACCTTAATTATATTCAATTTTATTTCTTCATAGTGTTTTTTTGAGATTTTCTTTTTGTTACTTAAAAATTATAATTATGTGATCTTATTGTGTTATAGTTTCCATGCGTTATTCTGTGCTGCTTCTTGAAATAAAGCCAAGCTAAAATTTAATGATTTTTCAAATTAGATGCAAAGGTTTTATGTTTAATCTCAAAGATATGATTAGTTCTCTTTTTTGTATGCAAACAGAATTTGATGTTATAATTCTGTTTGACTATTAAGAGAAAAATAAACATTATATTCAATTAAATTAATGGGATACGGAGTTTCATGCCAAAATTTAATACAAATGTATTCAAATACACTTAATGAATGATGCCAGCAGAAGTTTGTGTTGAAAACCAGTTTAAAAGTGTCGTATTTATATGGACTTATTTCGATTTAATTCCGTTTTGCTTTCATCAAAAATGAATGCATGCATGCAGTGAAAACTTAATACGAAGTCGTGCATTATAAAATATGACTTAAATCAAAAACAAATATGTAAAAAGTGCGTGAATTTGTTCTCTAATTTATCTGGAATCAAGTATAAATATCTACAAATATTTAAAAAGTTTGGGATTAAATTTATCTGGGGAATCAAGCATAAGATTCCCGTTTAAAATATATTCAAAGCTTCTTTTAAGTGGACGACAGCCTTATTTCTTGTTTTATAAAATTGATTTTAAAAGTTTTTTACACAAACTTAAGCTTATTTTTATTAATATTTGACATTCAGTGTATCTTTATTTGCATTTCTTTTTCTTTTTTAATAAGTATCCCAAAAAATAAAAACAATTCAATCTGCGCACATAATAACGCATGAACGGCATAAAATTATTTTGAGATTTCAAATTGTCGCAATTAAATATTATAGATTATTCATTTATGATTTTATAAATGTCTCAACTAAATAACTAATTAGCTAAGCTAACTAATAAATTTGCAACACTTGTGGGTTTTATTTATTTATGTATTTATATATATATATATATATATATTGTTCTTTTCGTTTTTCTAATCGTGTTTAAACGAGTTAACGAATATATGTATTGTATGTGATGTTTGTTATGCATACATACGAGTGTCTATATACGAGAGCATTTATGTATGGTAATATGTATCTATGTATCTATGTATCTATGTGTTTTTCTTAGTTATTGGATTGGCTAACGACAATGCATTCAACTGGCCTGCCTGCGACGACTGCCTGACGAATTATTGTTAAAATTATAGTGTTTATTTGCTGATGTCTGTCTGTGTGTGTGTCTGTGTGTGTGTGCGTGTGTGTGTTTGTGTGTCTGTATGGGTGTGTGTTTGTGCATTGGTATGCTCAAGTTTCGCGCTTAATACGTTTATGGTTCATGATGCCTGCTTGGGGGCTGGTGTTTATATAGAAATAGTCAACAAATAAATACCTTGGCTATGCATTGTGCTACTTAACGTGCTGGCCGCCGCTAGAGTCGTATAGCTGCCCTTGGGGGTGTAGGTGAAGGTGTGCGGCTCGCTCTTCTTGCCGCTCGAGACGATTGACACCTGAACGCTGACCGGCTTTAGCAGATTCTGATGCTGATATGGCGGCACTGTGCAGATCAAATGTGTCTGAAAATTAAAGAGAATATGTCAGATATAACTGTAGCATATGTATGTTGTTGCATATAATGGCGAGAATCACCCAACTTTGCCACGGGTAAGCTATCTTCTTCAAATTGCAGACATGAGAAAATTGGATATAGAATTTATGTACAGTGGAAGTCATAATTGAGGAGGCAAATATTTTTCACAAAGGTCTTGAGTTTGAAGCCGATCGCAAGGCAGCTAAAGCACATTCCTGCAACTGTTTTCCTCCAATTTTCCATGGTTGCGGGTGAAATTGGCGAAAAATAAGCTAAACACGATTAGACGAAAACTAAATCTTAGCCCATAAAACCTTTAACTATTATTTGTCACCCAGGAAAGGTGGATTGAAGTAAACGTCTCCAAATAATATTTATAAAGATCCTTAAAAATGAGTTAGAACTCGAAACTTCGACTATAAATAATGTGAAAACGATTTTCTAGCCAGGAGAGGTGGAAGTTGGTAAATGGCGGTAACGCCTTCTAAATGAATTTTCATAAAGATCTTATAGCATGAGTTTAAAACTGTTACAAACGTTTTCCACAAATTTTCCCAAAAATCCTGCCTTAAGATGCCCTTACATTATAAGGTATCTTCATTAATCTTCATTCATTACATAAGGTATCTTCATTAAAAATGACCACTTCCTAGCTAGCACAGTTTTATATATACATATATAGATATATATATATATATAGATATAGATACATCCGTGCCTTATATCGTACCTGATGCAAATACTCCTTGTCGGGCAACACGCTCTGTTCCCAAAGCGCTGCCGTTCCACCGATCAGCTGCTGATGGCCTACTATCTCGGCTGCCGGATCATCGGCATTGACACTGTCGTAGGTCTCCTGGAACACAACGTGCGTGTCCTTCAAAAAGTTCTTTCCAATGATGAACAGCTCCAGACCGCCATCGACGGGGCAAGAGTTGAGTGATTTTTTACAGATCTCTGGTACGCCTGGTGGCTGAGCTGTAAAATAAGAAAAACAACCAAAGTTAGTACAAATTTATCCAAAGGAAATTTATCTAGGAAATAGTTTTCAAAGAGTGTGAATACTTACTGCATATGATGGGATTGGAGCAGACCTGCAGCGTCTCAGTGCTGCCATCGTCGCGTGTTAGCTGCGTGCGAAAGACCATGCGACAACGTGTTGACTTCTTCTTATTCTTCTGTGCTAGGTGCTCCGGGAAACGGTGCTCCACATCGACATTGCGTTCCTGCAGGAAGAGTTGTTATGCGATTGGCTAGACAATATTTGGTAAATTCTATGAGTGTGTACCTTAAGGATGCCAACGCAATCGCAGGTGATGGTCATGTCCGTTTCGGGCTTGAAATCAATCTCAATGACCATGGTGCCGTCGACCTTCTTCTCGTTGCACTGCGTTGAATTCTTGCCAGCCACCTTGCACGCCTGATAGAACATATGCGGTGCGACGCGTCCAATGTCCGTGCCAATGAACACCTGGAGCACGGCTGACTTTTCATAGCCGGTTAGCCGGACAATGGGGAAACCGTTGCCGCTGCGATCCTTGACTGCGCCGCGGCTACCCTCGGTCTGGTAACGGGCGCGATGCTGTTGCTCCGGCTGGGAGACAATCTCTAGCTGGACATGGCCATCATTGGAGCTGGCGATGCTGTTCAATGGTGTCGCTGGTTGCCTTTTGTTGGCCACGCGGGTTACGGCGCGCGTTCCAATGAATCTGGGGAAATTGTACAATTTGCGGAAGAAGCACAATCAATAAACAGTTGAAGCTAGTGGCTCACAGGTCAAAGTTCAATAGACAAACTATGTGTTATGGCGAGGTGGAGAAGGAGGCTGGGCATCCAAATATTCTAATAAAGCTCAAATCAAATCTACAAAACGTGGCCATATTTTGATGTTTATTTGTCTATGGGATCATAAAACGCAGCAAGGGCGTACTTTGAACTTTCCCAGACTCTGTACAGATGCGTTGAAACTATAAGAAAATTCCGAATTTCGGTAGTGTATATATATATGGTAGATATATATATATATAGATATGTAAATATTGTATATGGTATGGTATTATATGCGTGTGTTTTGCATATGCGTATTCTTGATTTATGATAAAGAATTTAGTGCTACATGTGCTGGGGCCCAGGATGAATAAACTTGATGCAAAATGATATATGGCTTTATAATACACACACGCACACACTCGCACACACAGAGGCGAGAGAGAGAGAGAGAGAGAGAGAGAGCCGTGCCCAAAACAATAAATAGAGTTATGTACATAATATTGAACGCAAAGCGAAATGTTTGCAATTTGGAATCGGGAAATACAAAATAACCAAAACACAAAACATTTTCTTAACATTTGATTTTCTTTTTGAACAGAAAAGCAATTAAAAGTAAAAGGCAACAAATGTGAGTGTGGAAAATCAACGCGCTGCACTTTGCAGTTGTTGTTTTTGTTTTGTTTAAACAATTATTTTGATATGAGTTTTATGCTACTTTTAACTTGCTTTTGCTATTGTTAACGATTCATTTTGTTTAGACCCACACACACCAAGAACAAGAAAGCTAGAGAGGGAGGAAGGGAGAGAGAGAGAGAGAGAGGGGGAGGGAGATAGAAATAACAGACACATAGCATGTACAACAACAAAGCCGAACAAAAAGTTTAAACAAATTCGTTTTCAAACATTTTACTTTTTAATTTAGGAATTAAATTATTTAGAACGCGTTAATAAAATTCTCAATAAAAATAACAGCAAAAATAACAAATATTCAAAGCCACAAAGCTTTTTGCCTTTTATTTTCAGATAATTTAGTTTGCTTTTAAAAATTTGTAAATTTTTAAAGTAATCAATTTTTTAATTTATGAAAACGCATGAAAATGTGTGGCTATTTTTAAGTGAAAAATAAATATTCCAAAGTTCTTTTGGTATTTAAAGTATGTACATAAAAATCAATGTATATATGAAGAGTACATTTCTTTTTTTTGTTGTTTATTATTTATTTAAAAAATTTGTCGCCGTTTTATATATATATAAATATATTATATATATAGTTAAAACATAATTAGGCTTCTAAAAATTGTTAGATTTATAGGCAAATTTTGACTTTGTGACCATTTAAATTCTTCGAAATTCGTTCGTTTCAAAAATGTCCATAGAAAACATATTTAATGAGCACCTTTTTGTTGCCATTTAGAAAATGTTTCGAAAATGTTGTCTGCAGTTTGAGGACTGCTTTTTTAAATTTGTTTGTGGTTGTTGCTGTTGTTTGTAGCTTTGGTTTTTGTTTCTGTTTCTGTTTTTTTTTTGTTTGTGGTTCGTAAAGAAAACGCCGCTTACTTTGGCTCGCTGCTGCTGGTGCTACTCCTGCCGTGGATCTTGCTGCTGCTATGGCTCATAGTTTCTGCGGGCATGCAACGTGAGGTGGCGCCACCAATGCTGTCAATGCTGGCAATGCCGATGTTGGCTCCGATATTGCCTGGCTCGCTGCTGGCTGCGCTGTCGGCCACAACGGTGGCAATTTTGCGTATAAACTCATCCTCGCTGCAGGCATCATCGTTGTCGAGCTCCACTTGATTGCATTCGAGCTTCCGACGTTTCAGATGCTTGCCACCGCGTCCTCCGCCGCCGCTTTCCGCCGTACTGCTGCTCTCCTGCTGCTGGAGCTGCAAATGTAATCCGGGATAGTGAAATTGATGTTGTTGCTGCTGCTGCTGCTGCTGCTGATGCTGCGGCTGCTGCTGATGTTGCTGCTGCGACTGCGACTGTTGTTGCTGGAAATGTTGCTGCTGCTGTTCATGCAGCTGGTGTTGCACAGCAAGTACCACATCGGCGGCCTTGTGGCTGATCGTTGTGTTGAAGAAGCTGCCAAAAAGCTCGGAGCTGAGCGTTGTCGTTTGTGATGTTGTTGCCGTTGCCGTTGTTGTTGCTGTTGCTGAGGCAGTTGCCTGGTTGCTGTCCGTGCCAAAGCCCGTGTCTTCATCGTTGCTGGGCGGCGTGGCCAGTTCATCCACAAATGATGCCGATGAGTCCGGCTCAATATCATCCAGATAGTTGAGCATTTTCTTGGCATGGCGCGATCTACATATATATATATATACAGGTACATACATATACACATACAAATATATATATATATATATATATATATATATATATATATAAATATATAGATATATACATATATGCATATACATTTAATATATGCTGTTTTATGTTCTGATTTAATTACATTATTTGTTTGTACTCTGATTTGTATACAATTTGATTTAATATTATCGAAAGCTTTTGGGTTTATTGCACTTATATACAAACAAAAATAACAATAAAATAATTTCATAAATTCGTGTAGACATAAATATTATCAATCAAATCGTGTACACCCAACAGTATAATGTGCGACTAATGTAAACAGGCACGACATCATAATCTTTTCAAAATTCCAATCAAAATGACGAGAATCAAGCACAAAAAATAAAGGAACGTGAAATATTCAAATTAAAGTGAATTACAAATCGGTTGGGAAAGTGGGAAGAGGGCGAGGGAGAGAGAGAGAGAGAGAGCGAGAGAGCGAGAGATAGTGTACGAAACAAACACGAACACAAATACAAATACAAATACATATACATACATATACGCGCTGTCAATCGAGTGTTGATTGAACTGCAAGTGGTGATCGGAATTATATCGATCTGCGATCTGAAGCAAATATTTGTATGCTGGCTGGCCAATGAACTAGTTCATGCGCATGCAAATTGATTGCAGGCACTTCCGGTGAATTCTATAGCCGCATACGAGTATCAAATAGAACTTTACTATTAAGAAATAGTTCCATTCAACGATTCAGTGAACTTTTTCAAGAGCTTTAGCTATTGTCGCATATGAGAATCAGATATAAATTCATAAAGGCGCACACCTGTGCATTAAGAACTAGTTTCGTTCAATGGTTCAGTAAACCTCTTCAAGAGGTCAAGCTCAGATAATGAAGCCTTTTTTAATACATCGAAACTAAAAACCTTTAAAACGTTCGATCAGTTCATGTCTAAGGGAACTAGTTCAAAACAACAATGCTTCTCAGGACAACAAATTAAAATTGAGTCGAGCTCATTGTAACGTTAGCGTTCATTAGAACCGGATAGTGACAGTAAACTAGTTCCGACTCTATTCAAATTCAACGAAGGATAACAAAACTTTCACTTTAACGTTTACTATAACAAAAAATATGTTTATAGACTAAATTACTGGAGTGCATAGCAACAGGCAACACAATTATACAAAATGTCACTAGTGGGTGCTGCTTCTCATAAAGGCAGTTGCATTGAATTTGAACCAATGTACTGATATTTGATGTGATATAATCAAGGCATTTGTGAACGGAATAAACAAGTGCTGTTATGTGGCACTAAACACAGTCAATAACATAACTTGATATTTTATAATGTGCAATCCACCAATCCCCCCATCATCCAATCAGCAGCAGCAGCAATAATAATCAACTATTTTATTTGTAATCCTAACCTAAGCCAAATCCATGTGCGGCCATTATCAGTAAAATTGAGACAACGAAAAGGTAGGCATCACAACATGGCGTATACGTATCAAAATACAAATTATATACTCATACAAACACACAAATCAATATGTATATAATGTATGAAACTGTTTAGCGCAGAAGAAACATGTAAAAGGTCTCGATCGATCGATTGACCCTATAATAGCTATATCTTTGCTTATTTGTTGGGCTATCTTTGCAATCAAACAGGCGCTTACAGATTTTAACAATGACAAGTTTATGTTATAATAGTCTGGGGCAGGTTTCAAAAAGACAGCCCTTACACTCTGAGGAATAGAGAAAGCATTTGAAAATCCAGTAGATCCAGAAAAAGTCGTTGGCCGCATGAAACATATAACATGAGAATTTAGGTAGAATGCGGAACGAGAGACAGATGGGAGCTTGAGAGCGAGAGCTAGAGAGAGAGCGACTTTTGTGCAATGAGAAAAAGTAGATATTTTCGGCATGTTGAAGTTCGGTTTGATACGGTTTTGCAGGTATTCTTGGCGGAACAGTAAAGCTGAACTTAAGGTATGGGATATAGTGCTTTGATTCGGGAGAATAGCTTTAAAACTGAGAGAAAAGTATGCATAGGCACAGCCAAAATCGACTCGGTTGTTGTTGCTGATCAAATATACAATGTTTCGAATACCCTTTAGAAGGGTATCAAAATGTACATCTGACAAAGGAGTAGCTAACTACAATGCCGGCAACCAATTCGCGTCGATAAAGTAATTTACGAACATCATTTCGGAATTGATCATATAAATCAGAGTGCAGCACTTTTTATTATTATATTCTCATTGTTCAAAGTGACACACGAGAGACATATGGACGATAAGAAGGTGTTTTAAGTGGCCGGCAACTTAAACTGCTGCAGCTCTAATGTGGAATTGATAAGATACAAATGCGATTACAGGCATGTAATTATAATGTGGCATAAGTTTTAAAGCAACAACACTTACACACACACTAACAACAACAACAACGAGACACTTGTCTCTAAACACATTCACCATGACCTACAATGCAAAAACAGAAAATGCATCGCGAAAAACCTGTCCATAAAACCAAATCTTACAAATTTGATTGGCTTAGTGGGTTTTCTTTATATTCGAATATCTTGCAAATTACATACAGTTAATCATTATTTGATTAATCGAAAAAATATTAAAACAAACAAATTTAAAAAGTCATTTCCAAAACTTTAATTTGTTGCCTAATGTTGCTTTTTTATTTTTTAGTTTTCAAGTGAAAATTTCCTTTTTTAAAAACTACGTTTAATCGAAACCACGATTTTATGGACTCTTCCATTTCCATTAAGAAGTCGATTGAAAATAAACTATTTGCCGAATTATTTTAAATATATTGTAAATTTCAATTCGTATTGATTAGCGAATAATTAAAAGAATTTTCAACAACATTCAACAACTTTTGATCGTAACAGAGCAATCACTGTGTCCTGATGGAAATGGCATTATGTATTTATTGAAATAAAAATTAAATTGGAAAATATAATGATAAATTCAATAGTAAGTGTGTGTATGTGGCCGAGAATCTCACAGCGACTTGTCAAAGATGTAAACAAACGGAATATATATATATATATGCATATGCATATATACATATACATTATGTATTTGTAGTTCTGAACACGTTTCGTTTAAGAACACATTCTATATAGTATTTAGATATGATTATTCTTCTTGGAAATCTTGCACAAGATCATGTTCGACTCGACTAGCCCCCCGAACGTGCCACTTACGGCGTCCTCATGCTGCCAATTGAAGGGTGTTTGGGACGTGTTTCGCTTTTGGGGAGGAGGGTGTCTGTTGCACGGATATTCGATGAGAGAACAACACACTTCCTTTCGAAACCAAGTGCGATACACTACTGAAGGGCGCACATGACCAACGATCCATTTCGCCAAGCGAACCGATTTATGGAGAAACCATAATCCAATGCATTTCCAACTTCGGGACTGAACGATTTCTGTATATATTTTATTTACAGTAAAATCGAATGCGCTTTGACGAACCTAAACAATAAAACTGGCAAAAGGCGTCCGGTAATTCGGTAACGCTGAGCGTCTCAACTTGCGTCCAAATGCAGTTCCAACAGCTAGCCGATGCGCGTGTGTGTCTCTGTGTGTGTGAGTGTATCTGTGTGTGCGTGTGTGTGTGTGTGTGTATGTGTGTTTGTGTGTATGAGTGTGTGCAGGTGAGTGTAAGGTAGTTGGAGAGCTGAACAGCTGACTGATCGAAAGGGTAGATGGACTCACCTTGAAACGGGTATCGCGCGTATTAAATGCTGCTGCGGTGAATGTTGCTGCGGTTGCTGATGATGTTGCTGCTGTTGCTGTTGCTGCTGCTGCTGCTGGTGCTGATGATGCTGTTGCAGCGAGTTGGTGACGGCCACGCTGTTGTTCAACGCGCTGTTCACCAACAGATTTGTGTGCTGCCCACTGCCCGAGGCGCTGCTGTTGCCGCTGCTGTTGCCGCTGCTGCTGCTGCTACTGCTGCTGCTGCTGCTACTGCTGCTGCTGTTGCTGCTGGCGCTGCTGGCACCATTGCTCCTGGCATCAGCAGCAACAGCAGCCGCACCATTGCGCAGCTCCGTGTGCTGATCAAATCCCAGACCGCTGTCATTCGAATTGTCGCAGGGCGGCGGATGCGGTCGCTGTGGTATTCGCTTGCCAGGCACAAGTTTTCCCGGTCCCGTCTGGCAAATGAAAAGTGGGCGATTTTTAGTTTAAAATACTTGTGCAGCCGCTGCTATGGCATAAACCATCCATAGTGCTTACCCGGGCTATGGTGTGCAGTTTACCCGGCAGTCCCTTGCCAGGCTGTCTTTTCGAAGGTATCCGAAAGCCTTTGCGATGTATCCGCGGACTCATCGTTGAGTTTGTGGACATGGTCATGCGCATGCCTGGAAACAAATAGAAAGAACAATAAATTCTGTTATTCTTATACAAAAGATTTGTTTGTATTTTAACTTATTTTATTTATGTTTTACGAAAAAAGCTAACAAATCAATTTCTGCCTGTAAAAAGGCGCATCTTGACCACTTTTTGAGCTAGCAAATATATGAATATTTCCTATGGTCAGTCTTAAGCATAACTTTGAAACCGATCGAATAGAAATTAAACTTTCGCCCATGCAATATTTCACTATTTCAATATGGGCTGGATTTGGCGGAAAGTTTGAAAATATGTTCTCAATGAATTTTTACATAGATCTTAGCACATTAGTTTGAGGCCAATCGGATGGTAAGCAAAAAGAATGCATACAAAATTTTCCGCACATTTTCCACAGTTGCGGGTGGAAAAATTTCAAAATGCTTTAAAGCTTTTAACTTAAGCTTAACAATAAATTTAAACATTGTTCTTTGCAGATTAGTTCGAAGCCAATCGGATGATAGGTTAAAAAGTTGCATGCAAAAGTTTTCCGCTCATTTTCCACAGTTGCGGGTGGAATTTTTTCTAAATTCTTAATAAGCTTAGCTAAGGCTTAACCTAAACAAAATGTTAGCATAAAAACGATTTGAAATTATAGATATTTGAAGCGGATGGAAGAGGTTTGTAAAAAGAAAAACTTGTTTGTTTTTCATGCGAGTCAGCTTAAAATCTTGATTAAAAGATTGGCCTCAAACTCAACTTTTAATGCGCTTTATTAGCCATTACGTTAATGTCAGAAAATACCACTAAGTGCTATACAAACATATATTTGTCTATAGATAGCTTCTTTTTTGTTTTGTTTTCTTTCAAGAAGATGACAATCAACAGATTGTTACTGAAATTGCAAATATTGTTAATAGCGAGAGTAGATGATAGAACAAGCAAATATATGTCATAATCTCAAGATAAAACCAGCTTAAACCAGAATTGGAACGATAAGTACGAAAGAGAGAGAGAGAAATCAGAATTGCAACAAACTGCGCTAAGCATTGTCGGCGCAATGCAAATCTGTGCAGCATGCTTTGCCGCTTGATCAAGACAATATATGCCTATATATATATATATGTATATATTTTTATATCAAGTGCTTCATTTAAACACAATGCAAAAATGGTGCGTCTTGCAACGCGCCTGCTGCTGATAATGCCCCGTGAAAGGGCGCAAAGCTGGAGCCGTGGACGCAGCTAGGCAAAGTGCATTGAACTCTGTGTGCGCCATGAACTCAGCAGGTTCCACATGTATCTATATCTATATACACATACATATATATATATATATTTACATGTATATATGTGTGCTAGTGAGTATATAAGTCATAGCTGCAGTTGCAGCATAAATGCAGCATCGGACCGCGCAGCTGTCATGCAATTGTTCATCCAATTGCACAGCACAAGTTGCGCTATATTGTTGCACTTTGGGCGCCTCAATTGATGCACAATTTGAGCTTGTAAACGCTTCGCTTGTATTGTCTAGGCATTATCATTGCCCAGTTAAAGCAGTTGATAGCAGCCACACACACACACAAACACGCACACACACACCACACACTGATAAGCCCCAAGGCGAGCGCTGCTGTTTTTGCCCAAGCAACCCGCTCAAATCTGCATTAATGCCGGACTCTCCGATTCACATTCTGTTTGTACATAAATATTTTCATATTTGTTTCTATTTGCTGATCGATGTTTACATTTGATTATTGCATTTCTGGGGCTCTTCGTTTAAATTATAATCATTGCAAATGGGACGCGCGACTTGGCAAATTGCAATTTCTTGTTTATATAGTACAACGCCATGCACTTGAATAGGGACAAACTTTGTTAAATTAATATACAACTATTTAACTAAAACAAGTAAAAGGTTCTACTCGGGAGCTCCCGAACCTGAACCCTCTTCTTCCAACATCAAATGCCTATATATATTCTATTTTAGATGCTATATGTCAAGTTTGGTGACTCTAGCTCTTATTATTTACCAAAATTGCCGAAAAAACATGACGATATCGATTTTTATCGATTGCTTGGAAACGGAGTAAGTTATCGATTATCGGAAGCAAACTCGATCTGCGCAGGCACTAGGAGGACCTACATCTAAAATTTTAAGTCTCAGTCTCTCTTAAGGTTCAGGGTATAATTATCGAAAAAGTTTCGATTTTCGCATCGACCTCTATTTTGAAAATAAAATCGTGATGTAACCCCTTGTCATTTTGTCGATTTGGGTCAAAATTTTAGATTTCCTTTTTTTTTATGCCAATCGATAGAACTGATCCTTACGAGTCAAAAATGGTCTAAAATGAAATTGCACATTATTTGATGGAAATATTCCAAAAAATCATCAAAAAGGTTTTTTGACAAAAACATTTTTCAACCCATCGATGATTAATTTGTTTGAATGCCAATTGATGGTAGGGATCCGAGATATTAAATAAAAAATCCTCGAAAGAGTTTCGATTTTCGCACCGACCTCGATTTTGAAAAAAAAAACGTGATGATTTGGAAGGTCATATCTCCGCGCGGATTTATGTCGTTTTGGAACGTCATATCTCCGCGCGTAGTTATGTCGTTTTGGAACGTCATATCTCCGCGCGGAGTTATGTCGTTTTGAAACGTCATATCTCCGCGCGGAGCTATGTCGTTTTGGAACGTCATATCTCCGCGCGGAGTTATGTCGTTTTGGAACGTCATATCTCCGCGCGGAGTTATGTCGTTTTGGAACGTCATATCTCCGCGCGGAGTTATGTCGTTTTGGAACGTCATATCTCCGCGCGGAGTTATGTCGTTTTGGAACGTCATATCTCCGCGGGGAGTTATGTCGTTTTGGAACGTCATATCTCCAAGCGGAGCTATGTCGTTTTGGAACGTCATATCTCCAAGCGGAGCTATGTCGTTTTGGAACGTTATATCTCCAAGCGGAGCTATGTCGTTTTGGAACGTCATATCTCCGCGCGGAGCTATTACCCGAGAGCTATTACCCAGGGTAGGTTTGAATATCAAAACTTTCTTGAATATTTTTTTGAAAATCTCGGGTAAATATAATTCGATTTTAAAATATTATACCTTTTTGAATTCGTACGGATCCCTATTATCATATGGCATTCATAGAAATTTAAAATTGATGGGTTGCAAAAAGTTGTTGACCAAAAAACGTTTCGTTTGTATAATCAACTTTTTTTTTTTGATTTTTTTAGACTATCTTGGGCAAGTAATCTCAGAGTCGAAGCATTCGCCAACCCATACAAGAGACCTCGCTGAGAAGTGTGTAGTCAGAAGGCTCAAGAAAAGATCCTTTAGAAACCTCCTCCAACCACGACACAGGAGAAGCCCCAGAGCCCACCAACTACCTACTTGACGGTGCAGCCTTACTCAAAGAAGACGGCTTTGACGTTTGTCCATGATAAGGCCCGAGGAGACAACCAGGATTGGCGAGATACCACCTAAGTTAACGGTTTTGTAATAAAAATGTATGCTATTTTTTGATTCAATACAATAAAAATATAAAAATTAAAAAAAAAAACTTTTTGACGATTTTTTTTTTTACTCTCCGGTAAAGATATCCCGTTTTTGATATGTTATACCTTTTTGAATTCGTACGAATCCCTACTATCATACGGCATTCAAACAAATTAAAAATTGATGGGTTGAAATGAGTTGTTGACCAAAAAACGTTTTGTTTGTAAAATCAACCTTTTTTGATAATTTTTCTAGACTATCTCGGCCAAATAATCTCGTTTTGGAACGTCAGTATCCGCGGGGAGTTATATCGTTTTGGAACGTCATATCTCCGCGGGGAGTTATGTCGTTTTGGAACGTCATATCTTTATCGATTGCTTGGAAACGGAGTAAGTTATCGATTATCGGAAACAAGCTCGATCTGCGCGGGAACTAGGAGCATCTACATCTAAAATTTCAATTCAATTCAATTTCTCTAGCTCTTATAGGTTCTGAGATCCTTGCGTTCATACATACGGACGGACGGACAGACGGGCATGGCTAGATCGACTCGGCTATTGATGCTGATCAAGAATATATATACTTTATGGGGTCGGAGAAGCTTCCTTCTGCTTGTTACATACATTTGGATTTTGCACAAATACAATATACCCTTATACCCATTTTTCATGGGTTCAGGCTATAACAAAAGCTGAAGCCCGAGACTTTTTACGCAAATACAAGAAATCACATAATTCGCCATTCAAATTCAAGCAAAACTTCAGCTATTGAAGCACAAATAAAAATAATTTTACATGGCAAATGTTGAGTTTTTTGCTGTTATCAAAAAATACTAAATTGTGAAAGAGAAAAAATGGAAACATGTCAAAAATCTGGTCCCTATTTAAATGCAGGGCGCTGTATAAGTAAATACATATGCGGGGCTTTCAGTTTCATACAGCTGCATAATGTTCTATTTCAGGGGGAGGAGAGCGAGAGAAGGAGAGCGAAAGAGAATGAAAGAGAAAGAGGCGGAGAGAACTTGTGAGAATTTACTGCTATTGCTGTAAGACCTATGAAAATCGCATAGAAAGGCGTTTAATCGAAATAATTGTCGTTAAATTTGCCGCGCAAATGTCTGATTTAACAAATGGCTCAAATGTACCTCATCTAACTAATGTAATGTAATAATGTTGTGAATCTAGCTTTTGAGGGGCACGTTGGCCTAGAATGTCCCTCTGATCATACGTTTCGAAGACTTCAAAAGAGCCATTCAAGAACCTTAAAGGCAACCAAATGTATGTGAATGTATTTGGTAAATGGTTTGCCACTTGTTGCCAAGCTGTTGCCTGGGTCTATAAAGATATTTCGTTCAGATAAGCAAAACACTACACTACACTACTATACTAGGTCATACCTCAAATTCGAGCATTTTGATATGACATTAGTTCAGCATTGATTGATTACAAGATAAGATACAAAAATCGTGTTAAAAGCCAACTTCATAATATTAGGTGTTGTTGCCATTCAAAACAAGAATAAAAAAAAAACGGAAACTTCAGCGTTATGTTGGGCTTTGGGCTTTCAATAAAAAAAAAACCTAATTAAAAGAGTTTTGCCATTGGATAAGTATGTGACAAATATTTACCAACAGCAGAAGAATAACAACATATGCGCAAGTAAACAATATAATAACAATAATCGCATTCGAGATATGTATGTTATATGTATGTGGGTATTTCATGAGGGTTCTGTTGTTTTGATCTTTGCTTCTAGTCTAATTTTCTATGCCTGCTGCGTCAAGTTCATGCAAAACTAACCCTTGAGCCGAGATCGTAAATGACAGACATACACGCACCATAACTGACATCATGGGTTTTATGGGGTCTACGTTCCCAGAGGCGAAACTCGAATGCATATAAACAAATACGTCTGTGGGCCTGGGTGTGCACCTACCTACCTACCTAGTTGGCCCAAAAAGCGTTCGGGATCGTTACCTTAGCTATTTAACCTACCTGCCACTGACGCGGCACTTTATCTAAGCGCCTGCGATAAGACAAACCAATCTAAAACCGCAGCCAGTACAAAAAACCCACCCACCCTCACAAAGAGCGCGCCTTTTCACACTCCCAGGCGACGACGCGTTGTTCTTGTTGCTTTGCTGTTGTTGTTGTTGTTGTTGTTGTTGTGTTATTTTATCTGCGATCCAAAAAGAGATAAGATTTTTGGATATTTTTCTTAGATCGCCTTTATGTAATTTTCTCGGCTTCAATTGGCATACAAAAGTATGTTTAATTCAATTTGCAGCGTTTTGCATTAGATTATATAGCATACGAGCTCGAGAGATCTAACAGGAATTCCACTTATCATGTCATATACATATATCTAGACCTTTTTTTGTGAACATAGAGTGTGCCATTATATCGGATTTTATACCAAAGCGTGATCCAATTTTCATTAAACGTACCTTGGTTAAAATCACCTGAATCTGAAGTAAACTTTTTGCCAAAATTTAAAAAATTCGATCCTTAGGCTTTACTATATCGACACAGACTCGAATTAATTCACTGCTTTGATCGAGATAATATAATATAATGATTTAGTTATAAATAGGAGATGACACGCACAAGTTTTAACATGAGTAAAAGTTTGATTAAAAAATGCAGCTGTTGCACTTATATATATATATATATATATATATACTTTATATATATATATATATATATATATATATATATATACTTTATATATATATATATATATATATATATATATATTATATACTCTCAAGTCGGCTAAGTAATTATTGATGATGCTGCTGGCTTGAATTTCTTGGCTATCAGGGCCGCCAAAGGGCGGGGTCTGATGTGTTTTGGCCTTAATCTTATCGCTGGGCAAACTTGGCAACTGGCAAAAGCCAAAATGTATATGTGCATAAGTATATATTATAAATATATATGTATATATTCATTTTACATATATATATATGGATGAAATTCGAACTCGAGTAGAGACGGCGAGTAATTGAATACAGTTTTTTTTGTGAGGCGCCTCTGGCACTCAAATTGTGAACCCACACACATCGACAAGACGCCAGTTTTTCATTTTCTTGACCAAACGCGAATGCGAATGTCATTTTGAGCTTCCATTGGACTTTGCCACTATTGGGAGAATACCGTTTCACATTTCAATCAGGCCCAAACACAAATTCATATCAGGTTTGTTTAATGCCAACTTTGAGTTTAAGTTTTTGTTCATGACAAATGTGCTTGCAACTTTTCAAATTTTCGCGCAAGCAGGAAACTTTGTCGGAAAAGCGAAATAAATAATTAAAGAAGAGTCTTTAACAGCACCAAGCTAAGATCAAAAGAGGCAACGATCAGGGACCAGCTTGCTGACTTGTCTTGCAGCGAGTCCTGCAAGACAAGCAGCAAGACAAGTTAGGGATCGCTCATAGAGCTCCTCCAATTTTGGCATGGTTTCGTCGCTTGCAAGGCTTTAGATAGAGCCCTAATCGAACCTCAAATAAAGACAGTTAACCGAAACCCAAAAACTTAATCATGTGTTGATTAAACATGGTGCGGTTCAATGGGTCTTCAGCTCTGACCAGGATCGAGAGCTCACCCGAAGGCCCATTGTGCCGCCGGCTGTTTAGTTATTTTTGGAGGTAACGCTTATTGGTAGGATTAGGGCTTTAAAAGCTGTTGACCCAATTTCGCAGACATTGGGGCTCACTTTCTTTTCAAAAAAAAATTTCGATACCTATTTTTGGCCACAATATGCAATATTTTTGAATGCATTTTTTATACGTTCTTGCATAAAGCTTACCAAAATTGGTTTTGTAATGATGTTGATATGCATTTGTGTTTGTATTGTTGCTGTTGTTGTTGTTGCTGTTGTTGTTGTGATGGTGGTTGTTGTGATGGTTGTTGCTGTTGGCGTTGTTGCTGTTGCTGCTGTTGTTGCTGTTGATCTTGCCAGCACTGCCATTGCCATTGCCGCCGTGATGATGGCTCAGGTTGTGCATTTTGGATGGAATACGATAGCCGGACTCGTAATATCTATACTGATTGTAAGTGAAGCGCATTTTGTTGCCGTTTTCTCGTACTTGTTGTTTATTTAATTTGGTATAAACCCTTCTTGTTGTATATTATTAGTTGCCTTAGTTAACTCTATATTAACTTAATATAAATATATTGCAGCATTGAGTGAATATTGTCTTTTTAATTGGATATATTTTGTTTTTTGTTGTTTTTCTTCTTCTTTCTTTGAATTCTTTTATTTTGGCAGGTGTAGCACGTTAACGGTAGCTGCTCTTAAAATATTTAACTCCATATATTTGTATACATAAAATTATTTTTTGGTTGATAGTAGTTGGCACGTTTTTAATTTGTTGCTTTTGTCACATTGATTTTTGAATTGATTTGATTGGATTTGGCATTACAATAGAATTTTTGATTTGTACATTTGTGTTGTTGTTGTCAGTAAGTTAATGCTCATAATAAATACATGATTGTGTTTGTGTGTTTGTTTTGTTGTTGCAGTTGTTTTTTTGTTTTTTTTTTTGTTTTTACTAGCTGCGAAAAAACGAAAACATAAACTTTTTTATAGCACAGAAAAGCAAAAAAGATAAAAAAAAAGAATAAAAGAAAAACGCGTATTGTTGGAAATTAACATTATTTCTCGTTCGTTTGTTTTGTTTTTAAAATTCGCATTTAATTTTATGTACCGCGTAACCGAAACACAGCACAGATAAAACGAAACGCAACAAAGAATGTAAAAATATATACACGCGCACCTAAAAGATATGGAAGAATGCTCGACACTGAGATACCCTATACATGTGTTGAGGTAACTAAAAACATCTAAATGTACACAAATATACCTCAACCTCAGGAACTATGATATGTCTACGATAGAGAATCTCGCCAGTTTACCTACGTTAGGAAACAACAAAATGACTGAGCCTTGCTTGGACTCATGAGAATCGCATAGAAGGGCGCCATTTAAGCATCTGTGAAGCGAACTTTAGTACACATTTTGGTTTCTCGAAGCAGATAAAAAGTTGCATACATTTTGAATACTCTTTATTAATACATGGCATTAAATATACAATAACTTTAAGCCAGAAATAGTCATCTTATACCCTTGAGAATATAAAGCAAATGTACAACATATTTCTATATGTGACTAATTACCGAAAGATTATTAGTATTACCCTCAGTGAGGGTATAAAATATGCATTTACTTTTGCAAGATAGAATCGCTGCACAGATCCTTAAGATCCATGACAATGCTAATATTGATCTGGTGCGTATTTAATGATATGGTCCCTTTTATGCTGTTTAGCCACTTTTTGTGCTTTGTGAAACAAGTTTTTCAGCTACCTTGAGATTTTGAGCTCCTTCCTTATTTTACAGTTACGTGCACGAAGAACTGGTTCCCTCAGCCCTTTTACTTTTCCATCGCAATTATTTCCAGTACTTTAATTACAACGCTTATTCTGTTATGCATTTAGAGTGGACCAGGAAACAGCATCGCCTGCCAAAAACTTATACTTTGTACGTAAAGTGGAAAAGTCTGTGAGCTGAACTGGTTCTTTTTAGCCATTAAATGGCTGAATTCCTAAACTACTAAATTTCGACAAATGTATGAGAAATATGTATGATAATGTCGTGCAAACGTAGGTACAAGAAAGTAAAAGCCATTATCTGATGAAATAGAACTACTACAAAATACATAATATATCAAAAAATTTATTAAAGCATAATTTGAAGTATAAAAGACGCTGTGATTGAAATAAACTCTGGCTAATTTCATTAAAATCTTTAAAAATAGTATTATTTCTTTTCTTAACAGGGCGCATAGTCTAACATTGTAAGATTTTGCTATTTACAAAACTTATAGAGGAATATACTATAAGCTATACATCATTTCTGGATTTGTTTAGTTTAGGATATGATAAGCACAAGTGTCAATTTAAAGAAAAAAAGTTTTATAAGCTCATACTAAATTGTATATTTGCACGCAATGCGTTCAATGTAATCCTAGTGTATTTCAAATGCTAAGTATTAATCTTGATTGAACACTTGATCAAAATGAAGTGCGTATAAACCCATATCAGTGTCATTTTGAAAACTCTGCGAATATAATTCAAGCAATGCTTGAAACTTTAGATGATTATCAAATTGCACTTGATCATTTGTTGTTGTTTTATGTTTGATACTCTGTACGGAAAGTAAACGAGAGTATATTGATTTTGAGAACTGGAATAGCTGATCAAACGGGTAAGCCAAGAAAATCTATATTTCCCACAGTCTTGAGGCGATTCTTAAGCAAATTTCACAGATAGACCATTGATGAGATTCTCCAAAGATAAATCTGAGAGCAGAAGTCCTCGAATTAGACGCAGTTTGAGTCCGATAATTCCTCCATAGTCTTAGAGTCGCCAATCAAGAAGACAATTTTCGACAGATTTAATCGAATAACGCGTTGAACAGAGTATTGCGCAGTCAGTTGCACCCGACTGCAATTCTCTTACTTGCTTTGTTTTGGTATTTTTCAGCACAAATTATTTGTAAGATATTGTATAATTTAAATTTCATAAACATTGATTGAAAGCGACAACAAAAATATTCACAAAAATCAATTTTTGGCCGGCAAACAACAAGAAAATTAGCGAACGCCTCTCCAAAGACAACAACAATTGTAGAATCGAACCGAATCGAATAGAATTGAATTAAATCAAATCTCCGAACCGATCGCGAATTTTTAATTTATATATATATATATATGTTTGTTTGTTTTTTTTTTTTTAAGTTTTCTTTTTTTTGTGCGTGCGGTCAGCGACTACTCTATGTGTGTTGTAGGGGTTCTGGCGGTGCCGCGACTGGGGCTGGCTTCTAGACGCTCAAATGGCGTTGGCGGCGATAAGATAAAGCCGCTTAACCACAGCACTGATCGGATCGGATCGTTCGTTTCGTTTTGTTTTGCTGTTGTGCTGTGTTTCGGTTTTCCCTGAGTCTGTCTGAGAGAATAACTGCGTTTTCTCACACAGTTTTCCGGATGCAAGCGCTGTATTTGTTTGTTTTGTTTGTATGCGTATTTTTGTTATTGTTCCTTTTTTTTTTTTTTTTTTTTTTTTTGACAAAATTGTTTGACATGTTTTAGTTTTTGTTTTCGGCGATATACCGATAAACCGTTACGGTGCCGATCGAGACACGATCATGACGGTCAAAACGATAACGAAGCCGCGACTTTCGATGTCGCGCGTCGCCGTCGCGCGTCGCTGTCGCGCGTCGTGCGTCGTGCGTCGCTCTTTAAACTGTTGCTGATAAAAGGAAACAAACACGCGTACTACATATATAAATTGGAACAATAATGTTAAATACACACACGACGCAGATCAGCGATCGACAATATACAAAAGTAAAAAAAAAAAAAAAATTAAAAAAAATTAATACAAATTTTGAATATATGATAATTGAAAATAATTTCAAGCAGCGCGCACAAAAAAAAAATTAAACAACAGCAAAAAAAAGCTTATGCCGTTTAACCGCAGCCGAGTCACAGCTCGAGCGTCGTGTTGCGAGCACTTACGCTGAGATCGATGAACTAAAATCCTAAAGAACGACAAGCCGTAATGATGCCTGGGCCCGGTGCTTGGTGTCGTATGCCGCCGTCGTCGCTGACGCTGCTGCCGTCACAGAGCATCACTGTGAGAGAGCGAGCAACAAGTGCGAGAGGAGTAGCAGCAGCAGCAGCAGCACCAGCAACAATCAAAACAACAATAACAACAACAAGTGTATGCGTGGCCGCTCGTGCTTGAGACGCGAATTGCTGCTGCCGACGCGACGTTGTCGTCACAACGGGTTTAATTGATTTAAATGTATTTGTGAGCGGAGTGCGCGCGCGCATTGTCGCTCGCACTGATTCCGATTCCGATTTCGTTTCGGATTCGGATTCGGATTGCAAGCGCAAATTAATAAAGTAAAAGCAACAATACAGTAAAAGAAAAGAAATTAGGCGCACGGTCAGCGAGTGGGCGGCAGTGTCAATTCTAACCTATATCGATATGACGCATAATACACACGAATATCGATATCAGTGCACGCAATTTTCGGACTGTGTTGCAGACAGCAAGCAGACATCAAGTGCAATATGATCGCTCTATAATAACAGCAATACGCAGTCTATAACCGATATACATATGCATTACATAGACAATATAACATATACAGACACAAACACATTAACATATGCATGTATGCATAGCACATAGAATTTGACTGTTCACATTTGAGCGCGCTTCACGCCTCAGAGCAGCACGACCACACCGAGCCACTAAACAAAAAAAAAAAACCGTCGGATTCGTTAACAGTAACACAACAACAGTTATAGTGTTAAATTCTTATTGGCCGCACCGTAGCACAAGAAAAGCTCGAAAATTGTCGAAAAAAAAAATAGAAGAAAGAACAAGAAAGCAAAGAAAGAAAATAACTTTGTGGCGTCGAAGATGTAATACCCTTATTCTGTACTAAGCATTCGGCTGTTGACGTTATCAACATATGTTACATATACTTAGATACTCTCGGCAGAAAAATGACTTGGCTATATGGACCATTTTATGGCTCGCGGAAAGCGTGACAATATAATAATGCAAGGGTATCAAAATCATTAAAAGAACTTTCGCTTGGGCTTCCAATTGATTGTGCTTGGGGCTCGACACAGCACGCCGAAATATCATTCCGTTGAGAACAAATAATAAGAGCAAACAACAACAGGAAAATAGCGCGTAACTAAATAAATACAACATATGTAAATTGTAGCCAGCAGTTGAAGCAGCTCAAAAAAAAAAAAAGAAACAAACAAAAAAAATACGCGCCCCAACTGCGCACCTCAATCATTATCACAATCAACGTTCGCTGTCCCTGTCGTCATTATTATCGTGATGATAGACAGAGTTTTGGGGGCCAGCATTATAAAACAAAAAACCTGAGCGTTCAAACAAAAATTTGCGCGCGCCAAAACACGAACTGGCAACGATAGAGGGCGCTTTCTGGCACGTGTGCGTCTCTCCGGTGAAAATGTTACTCATACGCAGCGTTTACGGACGATGACAGAGTCTGTTTGAACATTTAATTATAGGCATTAAATATGATTGGTACGAATTCTTATCCTCGTTTATAAGGTGAACAAAGTATATAAAGTTCTGTACAATGCCCTTTCA